AAGCATTTCCCGTGAAACATCTTCCAGATACCATTGCCCTTCATTTTTCTGGGACAGTGAAAACACCTCCTCACTTTTGCACTTCCAGATTTCTCCATACACTTTGAATATGCTCTAATGCTCACATTTTGCATTGGTAGTAATTCACCCTGGTTGTTCAACTGCACTGATGATTGAAGTTACCCAGCACCTCGGAGCTGAGATTTTATGCTCATACAGCAGCACAGATTTACTTGCACCAGAAAATGGGAAACGGAAGCGTCGGGGAAATATGGAACGCTGAGTCTTCGTAGGTGGCAGTCTTGGGTCTTAGAAAAACATTTGTATTCTAAGCTTAATCTCCGCTAATAATCGGGGTTTACCAAAAGGATTATAAAACGCATTATAAATAACCAAATAGCTTAGTTCTACTGTGAATACTGTTAAATCAGTTGTTGACCAAACAATTTTTCCATCTTCCAAGTGACTTTTACGTTTTCGAAGCGAAAGCAATAAGCGGATGGACGAACTGATCCAAGAAGTCAGCCTGAAAATATTCGTGCTATACAGTTAAGAAAAATAACCGACAGCAAATAACAATCTAGCATGGAGCGTGTCATAGCTGTTCAGGATGAAATTTGACCCGAAAATTGTATTAGTGAGTTTTCGTAAACGTTAGGGTTTCTTAACAGTGTACTAGCGGCAATCACACATCAACTACCTATAGGTTTATGGTTGCAACCGCCTCAAAACTAATCGTAGAAAGATATGCGTACTTCTTGTCCGCCAGAGGAATAATTACTCACGTACAATAAATACTGTTTGTGACGTTTTGCAAATAATGATTAGGAGGACCAAACTGGTTTCAGTGTGAAATTTTGTGAAGCGTTTTAGTAATACGCAGGCAGACACCAGTAATGGCAGTGGACAGGAGAGAGTTTGGAATCCCGGGTTATGATTTTATTCAAAGATAAAGCCACTCTTTTGTGAGTTGTCACTAAACAGTGTTTCATTCTTGTTGGGAACCATGCGCATTGTGTGTCTTGGGAAAGCTTAATGTGACTCCTTACTTGCGGTACAATGTCTCGGCTAAAAATTGTCCAATATCCTAGCTCTCACCGACCATTATGTATCCCGTGGGAATAATAATACAACACGAAGTTTTTCTCACCAGGTTAGGCAACGTTCGGAAGTCTGGTGATCACACTTTTCTCTCCTCTGTGGTTAGAATTCAGAGCTTTAATTTTCTCCGGGCTTTCCTGCAACCGTGAAGGCACCGTTGTGCCAAAACAGGTATCTCGCGGTCGGCCTTATTCACCACGTACGGTAGGGCGTATGAGCAAACACAACCTTGTGTGAAGCCCATGTTTTTTTGTCAACACCTACAACTCCGCACCCATCTTACTAATGCTTTAGGTTTTATGTAAACCGCAGATGTAGAGATGTCAGCCAGGCGCTCATTATATTGCCCGCCTCTTGCACCTACCACTTTGCGTCCTCCATCCACATCTGGCTCCCTGATCCTCATCACAGTCTGTAAGGTGAAAACCCATAGACGAATTCGCCATCCAGTTACTCATGCGCGTTACTAATGCTATATATATATATATATATATATATATATATATATATAGACGCGTAC